GCAGGTTGGTGCAAGCCTAATTAACGTTATATTCCTTCTTTTGGGTGGATTTTATTATTTTTTTTTTCAAGAGAGATTCCTCCAATGGATTTCCCTAAATTTGGTAATAAGTAAGCCCCTACTGCACCTACACAATACTGTTTGAAGAGAGGGACAGAAGGCATAACTATTTCTACAGTACTTGCAGTTTCTTTGTTGTTTTTCTTTCATTTGGGTTTTTTTTCTGTGATACCCTGCAAAAGGCGCCAGGCTGCTGTGGTAAGTCGTTATCTTATAGATCAGTTGTATCTCAACACCAATGTGTGAAAATCTCTTTCAGGTCAGGACTTGAAAAACTGAAGTTTGGAAAACTACTCATATTACTTCTCACGCTTAACCATTTGCAATGGTATTTTCAAGCTTTCCTTCAAAACTAGAGGTCTGGAAGATGTACTTGCATGAAAAGGAGAAAGTGAATATGTTCATACCATGATAATTTTGAAAACCATGATTTTACATATACTCCAATTATTGCACAATTCACAATAAATTCATAAGATAAAGAGACACCGAAGACCATTCATTGCAATCTTGTGAATGTCTTCATGCTCCAGTTATGAAATAGGCTGATTGCATTTGACAGCCAGCATTTTCACATGGCCATTTAGTCCTGTTAGTCTCTGTTAGCCCTCCCTGCAAACACAGCCATGTTGAGAGGGTAACTGCACAGAAGATTCCTTTTTCTCCTGTCATCACCCTTGATATTAAACATTAGACAGAGGTGAGAAGAAAAGTGCAGATTATAGTTATTTTCTCTTGTGACCACTCCATGAATAGGGGTTTGACGTGCACCGTAATGTGTGTACTACTAGAAGGGGTTGACAAGACAGTTAATAAAAGACCTACCTTAGTAGCCATGGAGAGTAAAAGGCACAGGTATTAGGAATAATGTTAAAGTTTCCAGAAATGAAAACAGAAATACTGTTTATTGTTTAGAGTATGTCTACGCCACAATTAACATTTAAAACAAAAAAAAATGAGAACATGAGAATGGGTATAGAAAACAAACCAAATCACTCAGGGCAGATAAGAATCCTTGATTAATACCAAATGTGTCTTAATAGCTTAGTTCTGCTTTTGTGCCTAGTAACAAAGTAGTTATTAGGTGAACGATTATTTGCTCAGGTGAAAAATATAAAACACATAAACTACCTGTGCACCAGGGCAACCAACATGAGCAAGCTGATCTGTACGTTGCTCAAAGCATCCCTGATAATACACAGCTCAGAGCTGGAAAACCTGCACCATTTCTAGGCTCCTCTTGCTGAACTCAGAGCTTTTACAGCGAGCAGTACAAAGAGCCCTTCCTGGTTCCTTTAAGCCAGGGCTGTACAGCAGACCTGTGCTTTCCTGCATGGAAAGAACAGTGCAATCTCCTTATCTGCTGGTATCTGCTACTAGTAGTGCACGTCTTGTCATCATTATAATCCTAGAGACCACAGTGCTAGCTGCCTATCTGCAGATATCCCAGACCTCAACACTAACTTTGTTTTATAAAGCATAACACAATCTGGAGACAAAAACTCAGTGAGGTCTATAGTGTCCAAGGCAGGCATGGCCCCAGCAGACCTTTTTTGATGTGACATACTTTCCAGCTTGACACAATCGCACCTCCTTTCTGAAGCTCTCCTTGCCTTGGCCATAAACATAAGGACTACCCACCCTTACTTCCACAAGTTAAGCATGGTTCCAAAAGGACTATGCCCTCAGTAGCAAAATATAGAAATAAATATGGAATAAATAGGAATAAATTAGTAAATAAATGTATGAAATAAATATTCATTTCAGCTACCGTGACCTGTCACCCCTTTCAATGATAAACCCTGCAAATTTTCCTCAGCCTCTCAGTGATTACAGGCACTCCCTAGGCACATCAACCTGGTGGTTGGCTTGAGAGCTTTCTGTTGTTAGTTCAATTTTGTTTCTACGGGACTTATGCCCATATGAAAACTGAAAGGATATATAGCAGCTGGGTTAGGGCTTTTTTGTTTGGTTTGTGGTTTGGGTTTTTTTTGGTTTGTTGGAGGGGTTCTTCTGTTGTTTGGTTTTGTGGGTTTTTTTTAAAGTCAAATACACACTGATATTATTGAAAAAAATGTCTACTTCTATAAGCTAACACAAATGCTGATTGAACAGCCAACAACCTGCTGGTATACCTTTGCAGCAGCTGTAGTTCCAGAGGAAGAAACCATGCACATTTAGTTTTAGTATAGCTTGTTCAAGGAGATCTAAGTAGATATATAAGCACAGGTCAGAAACTGCCCTGATATATTCTTGAATCTGAGCCCATTAAAAAAAAATAAATTAAAAAAATCATGTAAAATCTATCAAAAGACTAAATTTAAAATTTTTTTCTACAATGGTTGGACAAAATACAGAAATTATTAATAGGGTCATGGGAAAGAAACTGTTGGAGCTCTGATTCTCTGGTACAATTGAACACCAATTTATTATACTGTAGAGTAAGTATTCCACACTTAAACAAAATATGGCCATAGAAAAATTCCACATTACAATATTATTAAATGTACAGCTACCAAATATTGTTAATGTTGTAGCTGTATATATTTTCAGTTTTCTTCTCCTAAACACATTTCACAAATTGAATTTTTTATAAAGAGCTATAATAAAATTAATGATATTATGAAGCCAGATAAAATTACATTATATTAAAGCAGAAATTTAAAACAGAAATAAGAAGTTACTCCAACAATTTTAAAAGGTAAGAGTCTTTAAAAAAAGCACACAGAAGTTTTTCCCAAACAGGTAAGGAATCCAGGCCCTTCAAGGGAATTAAGGGTTCAATCAGTATTATAATACTACATATGGATTGCAGATCATGAGGCGAAATGTACAATATTACCTGGAAATGAACTACTAATATTGGGGAATACACACCAAGTATTTTCCCCCCAAGACCCCATAATACTTCTTAAAATATAAATAATTCAAATAAATGAATAAACTAAATTAAAACTACTGTCTAATGTAACCTTTATCGCAAAAGCCAGTTTGTCTGTGCAAGTTCAGTATTTCATTCTACAAGAAAAGTAAATCCTTAGTTCATGGAAAACATGTTGATTGCCCCAGTATAAAAACCATAGGAAATAATCAGGTTAGCAAAAATCCCCAGTCAGCAAGGAGTTTGTAAAAGTATCAGTGGAAACAGCACATGTGATTAACATCCCTGTAAAGATCCCAAGGGAATGCAAGTAAAAGAAGCAAATATGAGATGAAACATTCATAGTAATAGAAAAATCCCCCCAAAATGAAACGGGCATCTTTTCACTAGGAAGTGATCTTCATTCCTAAATAACTGTACCTGAAGATTTCACAGACAGATTTAGTTTAGCAAGGATTTCATCTGTTTACATTACTGTTTTCCACAAACATTTGGAAGAATGAATTGCACATGTATGTGAAAGTTACTATTACAAGAAAAAAGTGTGCTCAAATACATTATGGATAACTGTTTATCATTCATAGTCTCATTCCACACTTTTTGCTTGTTTTAAATATAGTTGCTTCTTGATGAAGGCATTAAGAGAAATAATTTGGAAACAAATACTTTTTCCTTTGCTTCAAAAACTAGTACCTGAGTTAAGGACACCTTATCCTGAGCATCTTTGTATGAAGTACACCTGCTCTGATTATAATTAGTACTTCCCAGTTAGAGGCTGTCTACTTATCTCTGAATGGACATTGATTATGCCTCCATTAGCAAGTAACTTGGTGCCATAGGAACTGATCAGCAGACAAAGGTGTTTCATGCTGAGGTTGCTGTATCCATACGTATATGCTATTTGAGGCTTTTACCTCTAACTAAATTTAGCTGAGTCCCCTCCACTGAACATCCCCAGTGCATATAGAGTTGAGGAAGACAAGTGTTCTGTGCAACCAAGAACCATGGGGCACCATGAGTGACAAACCATTCTTGATATTAAAATGGGGTTCAATATATAAAAAACATTTTGTGAATCCCTGCTTTGCAGGGTATGAGTTTATGCCAGTATATGCTTTGGGGGGAAATGGCTAAAACAATTCTTACATGACGTTGTAAAATGCTGTTTGGGCCAAGTACTTTGACTTATTGCTTATTGAACATGACTGTATACCAGAAGAACAAGGATACTCAACTTCACTAGCTCCTTTCCTTATAAAAGACGAACATTCTTAAGCCATATAATCTTTTTAACAATTGCATCTTTTTAGGGTTTCAATACTGCTATCAGGCCTTAATATTCTCCCTTTTCTTCAAAAATATTTTTAATGAAACAGGGAATTTAAGAGAAAACTTGCCTGACATGCAAAAGTACTATTTTCTGGTTAAGGAACTCATAATATGACAGAATAAGTGTCAGGAAAAATAGACTTAATATAAGTAAAAACTTCTATATGACATACATCTATCATACAGCAATCTGAGCCAAAATCTTCAAAACCTCCATTAAATTTTCTGTCCAAGTCTTGACAGTTATAAAGTACTAACATGGTAACATAAGGTTTAAGCAACTTTAAATATTTGTCACATAGTTTGTCCATAACTAGGGAGTGGAATCAGAAGAGAGAAAGCAGGGGCTGTTATTACAAAACAAAATTAACTATGTATTATTACTTTAGGCAATTGTAATGATTCACTTCCATAAAAGCAAATTCAAATTTAATTATATAATTATTGTGTTTTCATTAAAAAATATGTTGATACGGGAAGCCTGCTGTATTATGCTGTTTATAATCACTTCTGCTTCACAACAAATGAGCAGACACATTTGTTCATTGTAAAAGACACTTCATTTCAAGGTCTATGGGCCAATGGTCAAGTCCTGAGTACTGAGATAGAGCCTCTAAACTTGTTCTTCAGATTACATTATCTCTGCACCACAAATTCATTCCTTACAAATGCTAGTAACTTCACAATGCAATCCATAAGCTAAAACGCTGCTGTTAACGTATGTTCCTACCTGCAAAGGGAACAGGTGCATCTTTATCCAAAGCAACAAGGGGAGGATCCAAAATTACAGTGTCATTGTTTTCAGTTATGATTCCATGGTATGATGTCTCAATCCAGGGCTTGTGTTTGTTCACTAGAAAAGAAATAGTATGCCTAATTAATTTGATTTGTGTTTTACATCCATTTAGCTCATTTTATCTTTAAAGAGAAATTATTTAATGCACATCCAGTATTAATGTTATTACTGAAAAGCCACTAACAAGATCCCAAAGTACTTCATAAACATTGAAATATTAAACCAAAATTATATGTATATTGTACTGCAATTCAGTGATGAGAAAACCAACACTTACAGACAACCCTCTAATTAAGACACCAAAGTAAAAAGCCAGTTTTCAAAATCTTTTCAATGTGTACCCAACTGTCAGATATAATTAAGGTCAGACACTTCTGAACACTTCTTTCAGTTGCAAAACTGTGATGCAAGAGAAAGGACATGCAAAGAAACACAACTCCTGTCAAGACACAATGGCAAGCAAAAGGGCAGGTGAGAACATTGGACTCTTGGTCAACTTCTCATTTTATATTTTTGGAAAAATATCTAAAATTACTTTTATGTTCTGTACATTGTAGACAAAAAATAAACTTCTACATTTTAATCACTGATAAAAGCCACCACCTCTTTTCCATTTAACCAGCTTTAGTGATGCTTAAATGGGATCTGAAGTTTTTCTGAAAAATCTGTCCTTCAAATACAGCTGTTGCACACTAGGATATCTGATCTTGAAGTACATCGGAAGATCACACAAAAATGCACTTAAAGTAGGGAATATACCATGTATCATCAGATTGTCTTACTCCTGAACCCTTTCAATATCCATCCCTCTCACCAACCATCTCCTATTTATTGAACAGTACAAAGATGCATTTTCCCCTTCCTTTTTATTTCATAACAGTCTTAGCTTTGCTATGCTTATAAATAGCAATTTATTCCCACAGCTACAATCACAATGTTATGTTTCTGGAACTCCTACATAAGTCATACAATGGTGCTAGCCTAAACAAATTACAATTTGAAGAATGTGCTACCCCAGGTATGAAGGAACACTGCACTAAGGAATATTTACCATGTTTTCACCAAGTCCAGATGCAAGGTAATTTTTGTACTTATTATTTAGTTGTGTGTATCAGATGCTACAGAAAACATCTGGTGAGATAACAGAAATCACCTCAAAGATGGAGGGTTGACACTTAAAGCAAAACCAAATTGAACCAGGTGGCATTATTTAAAATAACCTCAATACAAAAACAAACAAACTAACTAACTCCACACACACACACAACCCTAAACTGTTTCCTGCCTTGTCTTCTGTAAAACCTCCATACGAGGACGAGTTTCAAGTCTTCCCACATAGTTTCTTCTGTGTGAAGAAAGTAGCAAAAAACACCAAACAATAGAGAGGGCTCTGGCCACAGCAGAAGAGCTGGGCAATTAACAAATTATTTTGTTCACTGGCTATTTGGGCAAAGTACATAAATATATTTATGGCAAACTGAAATTCATTCTTGTTCCTTCTTGTTTCTTTCTTTAATCATTAGGAAATTGTGGACTTGGGAAGAGTGATCTAAGGTCCTTTTAAAGGGGAATTATTTTATATTCTAACAACTAATATGAGAACTTTGAGATCATTTATATGTTGCAATATAATTCTTTCAGAAGAAAGCATACTTATCTTCACAGTGGTTTTGCCCATTTTTGCAATAGCTAAGCAATGGGAAGATTAAACTGAGGATGTGTCAGGGAAAGGTGAAACGGAAAATAGGGAACTCAAATCTCTTCATCTTGTAATGACTATACAGCCAGGGGAGAGATTGGCAAGTTTATGTAATAGGATGAAGGCCAAAAGTCTTGTCAGTGTTGAAATATGAGAAGTGATGGATGCAATTTCAGAGCTTTGTATGGCATCTGGGATTCCAGTTTGCAGGGCAGTTGGAAGTATTCTGTATTTGTTATTTGAATATGTGAATTGCCTGAACATCCAGACACATAAATATGCTCCATTGGTGCTCCGATATGACTCAAAGGCTTTGACTATACAGAACACATGCTGTACAGAACAAAAGGCGATCTCTTGATTGAAGGCAGATACAATTTAACAATAATGAACTAGTAAATAGGAATTTGCATGAAGAAGGAACTCCTTATGTAACTAAAAGTTAAAGTACCAAATCCAGCTTTTCCTTCCTCCTGGCTCTGTTTATTGTCTGAGCTCTCACAAAAAGAAAAAAAAAAAAAAAGAAAAAAAACTAAAAAAAAGAAAAAAAAGAAAAAAAGAAAAAAAAGAAGAAAAAACCCACACACATACACACACAAAAAAAAACCCCAACCCAACACACACACACCCTTTCCTCCTGTAGATTCTACCGAATGGTTTTGATGACACTTTTGCTTAAGAAACAGTCTCAGTATAAAGCGACTGCAATTCTACTAGCCTTATTTTTTTTTCAGTTAGTGTCCTATGAGCAATAACAACAGTCAAATGAGTGACAACAACATAATTCCTTAAATTATGCTGGGGTGGGAAGAGAAGAAAGTACATTAAGAGCAAGTTCTACAATTTAGCCCTAGACCTTAGAGACTGGTATTAGGAAGAAGAAAGGAACAATAAAACAAAAGCAAAATACAATAAAAGGTCAAATTATTTGCAAGCTCTTATAAGGTCCATCTCCAAAGGAAAAATTATGACTATACAAGCTTTGTGTAACTTGTGGTGTGGAAATTTAAAAAATAATGGAAAACATCCACACTCTTTGGGAGTGCAAAACAATTCTTTTGCATCAAAAGGTCTATACATTTGAAATATTTTCACATAATGAAAATTATTCATCCTTTCACACTGTTTTGGATACTTGTTTTAAAATAAGGAATCTATAATACTGAGATTAGTGTAGACACATATTTAGCTAACGGTCGCAAGAGCATTCCAGATGCCTTTAGAAGACTTTGAACAGAATAAACAAGAAGATAAAAAAAGAAAGATGCCAATTAGCAGAACACAAGTGCACATTCCACCATAAAGGGAACTTGGCACAAAGAACCTCAATTCAGCAGTTTATCTTGACCAATTAGACTGAGACAAGTTTCACACGTTTTAGTTGGTATAACCAATTATGTCCTATGTTTATGCGCGTGTACAGAGTTAATATAACCAATTATATCTTATGTTTATGCGCGTGTACAGTGTTGATATAACCAATCATATTTTATGCCTGTGCGTGTGTACAGTGACTTTGCAGAATATGTGACTATAAGTATGTGTGTGTTTTAGCAATAAAGGGTTGTCTGTCATCTGCTTTCAACTTTACAGGCGTCCGTCTACTTCAATCTCCGCAATTAGTAGCTGGTGTTCTGGTTGGGGTGGGTGTTTATATTTTGTCTTCTAAAGGTTGCTAAAATGTTAACAGAGAAACTCTTACTAAACGCATACACCACTTATATAAGCTTTCATAAGATACTACATTCTAAAAAAAGCACATTCAAATATAACATGATTAATGAATACTTTACATTTCTTCCTCCAAGACAAAAGGGCCACTACAAAATGAGAGACTGGTTCAAATCAGTATTTATCCACAGGTCAACACAACCCTCATAAATATCTGCCATTTTCCTAACCCTATGCAGTATCTTTAAAACAAAAAGAATCTTAAAAATCAATTCAAAAGTCTTTTGTCCTGTCTCATTCTAGCTTTTGATTCAAATTTCAAGATATTTGAGAAGTACATATTTTTAAATACAAATTACATATTCTTGTAGTTGTGCCCTTTTTAAAAGCATGAATTTTTTTCCTCCCTTATCTACTCTCTCTACTTTTATAATACTAATGTATCGCAAAAAAAACATCACCTGCAACTCAGCCAATAATTCCTCTGCTTTAAGCAGGACCTGCACCTGAAAATATGAATTCCTGTAATGTAAGCAATATTTCCTTTTACTCTCCATTTTTCTAGCAGTGACCTTCAGATTTTTTTTATTACTGTAGAAAAATAAATTTACTATGTTTGACATAGACTAACAGGCACTCGCATCCAGGCTGTATTCATGTTTAGGGGAATAATTTGTGGTTTAGACAACACATACTGAATATTGGCGGAAAATTAAGGAAATCCCATGAGCTGAGTAGATTTTTTAAGAGCTTTACTTTTTTGACAGATATCCAAAGCCACATCTGAAGAGAAAAATCACTTTTTTCTTTTACTATAATTGGTTAGAACCTAAAGATCTTAATGTAAATATATACAGTTATGCTTTTCCTTTCAATCTACATTTAGTTTAAAATGCCCCCCAAACTGCGTTAAAGTTGCATTCTTTTCTCAGTTACATCAAACCCAGTCAAATTTTAGGTCAGGTTTCCAAAGACATAGTAATGCCATGCTGCATTTATTTAAACACCAGAACAAAAAAGTTCTGCCATGCTTCTACTTTAGGCTATATGAAACTTTATTTTTAAATAGAAAAAAAACCAAAATTCACATTATTTAAGAAATTATGTAATTCCTATTATATAAGATGTTTATTAGACTCTCTTGAACATTAACATGTACATTTTTGTAATTTTTATAAACTTTAAAATGAGGTGGGAACTTTTTATTTTATCTTTAAAATAGAAGAGGCATGAATGGTGAAAAAATATTTTAATGTTTCTCAGCAGTGCTTACAATTAACAGCATTCTATAAAAGAAAGTGAAAGGCAAACTACATTTTTTGGCTTGTGTTTGCTAAAGATGATGGAAGAAATATATATACAGATTTGTATGTGAAGTTTCAGGAACTGTGACAGCAGAGTACTATACAGCAAGCTAAACTCAAAAAAGTGAACAAGCTGGATACTCAGCAGATAAGAGCTATACAGAAAATTCTTTTCCCTCTTAAGGTATATTAAGTTGTAGCACACTTATATTAACTCTAAAACTGAAAAAAAAAAAAAAAGAAAAAAGTATGATTTTGGTTTTTTTTACAAAATATCTTCTCTGAAAGCATTTATTGTTTACCTTTTCCTTACGTTTGTCTAGCTGGGTAGAAGCTGAATTCACTATAATGCTTTCATGAATTCAAACGCATATTTTAGTTAAGATGTACAGATAAAATGTACCTATGCTGTGCATTGTTTTTTTTAAAACTTGCCTCCTTCCTATAATTTATTCATCATTAGTATAAAATCATAATGTAAATAATTTGTAGCATCTAGGATAAGGCAATTAATCTTTTTCCTTTATTGCAGTTACAGGTCAATTCATTAAAATTTGTACGCACCATTTACACTGCATTTTCATAGTCTGTCCCACCAAAGCTTGTGATTACAAGCCTTCGGATGTAATTAAACCATCTTGCTAGAAAACTGTTGCTCTGTGTTCCATCTGCAAATGCATTTGGCACGTAGAACAATGAAGTAGAAAAAGGCAAAAAAACCCCAAATTCATTTTGTAGAGTCTGCAGGAAATCTCATGCCTCCAGGAATGTTGTCTTGAAAGTCAATTCAAGGACAAGTCCCAAAATTTAGCAAAATGCATACAGAGAAAGGTTAGAAGAAGTTTAGAATCCCAAACATATGCTGAACTCATACGTTCTACTTTGGTGCCTTTTCCCCACCCTCTGCACAGTACCCTGGGTTTTACCCCTTCCAGATGGCATGCTCAAAAACCCACCCTGCTACTTGCCACCTGATACACAATAAGAAAAACAACCAACCCCTCACGCCAAACTCCCCTACAAACTATGATTGCATGTGAGCACTTTACACTTGCACCAAATGGCCCATGGGAAGCTCTGCAGCAGAAACGAAAATCACAGACAAGACATTGATACATCAGCAGTAGGAAAAGAAAATAACAACCACCTCCCATCCCAAGCTCTTTGGCAAGCTACCAAAAACCCCTTTACTATGAGTATGGCTATAGGTGCACAAAACTCTTTGTCTGTAATGTCTACAACATTAAAAGACAACCGCCTGCTTTATCAGACCGCAAGACATGCACAGGGCTCTTTGAAGGCAATCATACTCTTAGTAAATTAAATCTTCCCAGTCTTAATGCCTGTCAACAGAGTCACAATTTGTCAGTGCAGAAGTATTATTATAACTGGACCACAATATAGACAAAATATATGAGGACATCATCTTATGAGGAAAGACATCTTTTCCATAACCCAAGATAGACACATGTCCAGGGTGGGAGGAGTGGGTGGAAAGCAGCATGTGTCCAGTACAATGGTATTTCCAAAATTCAGATGGTTTCTGACCTAAAATACTTAGAAAATGTCACTGATCCAAAAATAACACATTATAAAGGAACTATGAAAGAAAAAAAAGGTAATATTAGAAGCTTTAACTACTGACACTAGGGCAGAGTCAATATTGTCTAGTTGATTTAACTGCTGATTTCTAAACTTTAGGAAGTAAAACTTGAAGTAGCAAGTTACAAGGGTTAAGAATTACTTTATGAATGCAAATATTTTCTTTCTTTCTTTTTTCAAAGACAGCATAATGGATCTATTTTCCATTTAAATGTACTGATAATATGTTCTCTCATCTCTATCTCTAGCTTAAAGATGTCGATTCCAGTAAAATTGGAGGAAAATTTAGACTTTCTTACTACTTAGTTCAGCTCTAAGTCCTTTCATCTGCTAACTTCAATGATCTTCAGCTCAGCCTGTTGGCATCCTGTCTTTCTAAGTGTCAAAGGCCTTCCCTTAAAA